ACTTTATATATATATTTGTGTGTGTGTGTTTGTGTGTGAATGTGTGTGTGTGTGTGTTTATCCGAGAATGATGAGAATTATATTGCAAATAACCAGATAGTGGTAAATAATACATAGTTAATAAACCGATCGCAATGTAGAGGAATTCTTCCATTTTCTATATTCACATTTGATTAAATTATTCATGATTTGAGCCAATCAGCGCCGAAACATCGTAAATATCTATGAGCCGGGTCTTTATTAGTGAGCAAGTAACGTATACTTTGCATTTATTCCGATAATTGAAGCAGTATCATATTACTGAGATGCATCTTCCTTTTTTTACAAGCCATTACTGCAAGGAGTTTTGCGAGTGCCTGCGAAATTGTTATGCAAGAGGATTTTATTATGGTAAATTTATTTTCCCGGAAGATGGAAGAAAATAATTTCACACAAATATTGTCAACACGGGCCGTCGCCAACGTGGCATGGCGAAAACGTTCTGCACATTTGAACAAAAAGAATGTGGTTCTACAGAATGATACCTAGAATTCCATGGATTAAGCGAGTAAGCAATTTTCTTAGAGAAAATGAGGAAAAAAAATCACTTATACTCATGATCAAGAAGAGACAGGTAAAATTCTTTGGTCATATAATAAGGAAGGACGGCTTGGAAAACTTAACCTTCAGAGGGCGTATTGGATGAAAAGTGATATGAGAAGACAGTGATTCATTTATGTGGCGAGCTTGTGTTAATGCATGGTGGAACGTCCATCGGGAGACTGAACAAAAGAGACACACAGAATAGGAAGTTTTGGAGAGACATGATCGACTATATCTTGAAACGGGAGCGGCGTATAGAAAAAGGGGAAAGGAATTTTTGTGTTCTGGACTAATACAATGCCTGAGAGTCACTCAAGGTAGAGGAGTACTGTTAAAATTGTTATGATAGATATGTTTTGTGGCATGAATGAATGATTTGGTAGTAGAAATGGAAGTTTATGAAGAAAACCTTTGAAATTTGACTTGATAGAGATAATGATTGTAGTCGTCGTCATTGGCGGAACTGATCGCCGAGTACTGGGGTGCTCGTCGACATTTCCTTCTTTGTTAAATAATTCCTGTGTCGGGTCTTAAGGGACGTCTGCAGCCACTGCATAATAGGTCATGAGGATTCAGGAAACTGATAGCTATGACTTTTCTTTTCTCTGTCTCTTTTTGTCTTCTGGTGTTTTCGAAGGATATTGTTTTTTTTTGTTTTGTTTATTTTTGTTTTTTTGTGAATTGCTCTTCACCATTCTGCGGCTTCCCAATTAACCGTATAGATTTCATTCCTCAGCTGAATCGACGACGTGGGGATATACGTGGTCTCTTGGCATATGCGAGCGCCTAGAAGAGGATTTGTTTTGATAGGCGGTTGTCTAGCATTCGTGCAAGGTGTTCCACCCATCGAAGTCGATGGTGAGTTGTCAATAAGACGCTGGTAGACTCTTCCACTAGGTATAAGACTGATTGTAGAGGAACCGAGGAAAACTGTGTACCGTTACACACTTCTAAGTCGAGTACTACTCTTCTGTTATTATACTACTAATCTGTGAACACTTCTTTTGTTATTCCATGACCATTCATTTAATCGCAACACGAGTCATAATGGGTTTTAGGCTCTCCATCTTTCCGCGGAGAACAACTTCGTTGTTCGTGATCCGGTTCTGCCACGTGTTACGAAGGATTTGACTACCTGTAAAGATCTGAACTGAAGTCAATGAGTAGAGAATATTTGATTCCTACTCGCAAGACGATTATTCAAGTATTCCTAAAAATTATAACCCCTCTTTAAAAAGAAAAGAAACTGCCGATAAGCGATTGTTTATCGTTCGTTGAAATCTAATGTATATGCCATTGACATTGCTTTCTACTTGATCTATGTGCAATGTGAATCCAAGTAGAATGGAAAACAAGTGATTATTGTTTGGTTGGCCAATTCGAAATATCATCACTTGTTGGTCTGTTTTGTTTTTTTTTTTGTTTTTTTTGTTTTGTTTTTTAATAGGCCGATCAAACTCACTACTCAGGAGAAATGGATGAATTTACGATATTAAACCCATGTTTGTCTATATTTTAGAGATTAGGTATTATGTACACTATTTACACTTTTCGGACTATTTTCCTCATCGTTATATTTATTTATATATATTTATTACAAGGTTTTGGCCACTGTGCCATGTGTCCTTGAGAACACATGGCACAGTGGATAAAGGTGCTGGTTAGATCCAGTGACAGGACCCAAAGAGTGTGAGTCCAATGCCCGGTTAAGGCAGTGGAGAACATGGATAGGGGAATTAACAGGAGATAACTGAGAACTGACATCCATTAAACATGGCACGTGGAACTAGAGCAGTCTAGCGCAGTGAACGGAATAATGGTTTCAGTTCGACATTCCAACCACCTGAAGAAGGCTGGAGCATACAACGGCCAAAACGTTGTAATAAATATGGCGACAAAGATGAGGAAAATAATACGAATAATGTAAATAGTAAACCCATGATGTTTTATCTTATTTTAATTGTTGAATTAGGCACACAATGATAATCGAAATCACTACTCAGTAGAAAGTTGATTTGTCCATATTACACTTCAAACCTCATTGGGTTATTTATCGGAGATCGTTTTATGGGACGCTTACTGAGAATCGAACTCACATCTCCCTAATGGATAGTTGGTGAATTTTACTATATGTCAACACTATGTGTTTTATACGTCAAATTTCGCATTAGATACTCAAGGAGGATTAGACTAGGTAGAATGATGATTGGTTTTACAACATGCTAACCATATTTGACCATTTGTAACGTCGAATTATGTACGTTACTCCCAGTGAGGCCAAACTATCTACATATTAGTAATAAGTCAGCCAGAATAGTTAGACAGAATAACAATTACCCCATACCAAGTAATGTTTATTACGATCAGTCTGACAGGTCATTAAGGTCATGCATGAAAACCAAAGAAATGAATCATCTAAGAAGATATTGTTTAGAACGACGGTCGGCCAAATTATTTATCCGTCCTGGATATGACCATAAAGTACATCTTCGTGTCCTGGGTAAGACGATAAACTACATCCGGCAGCAAAGATCAGGAGGTTTTGAGGAGCTTGGAACCATCTCTTAATTGCTGGTGTTTCCAGGTCAATTCTGACCCGGGGTGGTAGCACTTGTCTTGGTCCCAGCTTTAGGCAAATAGTTAACTAGAAACACTATGAAAGTATAAAAATAGTTTTTTAATACCAGCAATACATAAGACGTAAAACAAACAGAAACCAAACCCAAATTATTTATATGTAAAGAATCTTTTTTTTTTCCGCCTGAATTTTAACTTGGTGGAAGTTTTGGATTGCAATTAAAGTATAAATATAACGATGAAAACGAAAACATTTTATACTATTTTAGTTTGAAGGGCTTATTAGTATTGATAATCGTTTTGTTTTTTTTGTTTTTTTTTTCTCACATGAATTCTTTCTTGGATTAAATTTCTGAGTGGAATTAAACAAGAATGAAAGCGAAAATATTTTATACTATTTTAGTTTGAAGGGCTTATTAGTATTGATAAACGTTTTTTTTTTTTTTTCTCATATGATTTCTTTCTTGGATTAAATTTCTGAGTGGAAATTAAACAAGAATGAAAGCGAAAATATTTTATAATCTTTTGGTTTAGACAGCTCATTAATCTTCCTTGTTTATTTCAGAGTCTCTGCGGTCGCTTAAGTATTTAAATATGTGATACTTACATACATATGTCTATGTAGGCACATATTTGAGTAGAGTTTAGATAAAATCATTTTTCGTAATTTTTATTAAGCCTGGTATCATCAAATGAGAAATATTTATTCCTGTGCCTTTTCTATAAATATTTTAATGGCAATTATTCTGATGAACTTTCTTCTTAGGTACCAAGATTTCATGCATTTAATCGCCGTACTAGATTGCCGGCAAGATCTCATCATTTTACTATTGAAATGACGAGATGTAGCCCCAACTTCTTCTCTCAGAATTCTTGCTTGCGGAAATCACTTCCGGTTTCTTGCATTCCAGTCAATATTGTTCTTCAAAAATTTAAATGTGTTTTATAGGGACAAAGATCAAAATGAAGGCCAGTTGTTGGTGAGGACGTCTCTATAACGTAAAATTTCAGAAGCACTAAAAAAGCTGCTAAACCCAAAATGTATGAAGTGATATCCATTTGTTGGCAGGGTGGATCAAGACGTCATCAGGATTGATTGGATATACACTGCTATTAATCACATCCGACTATGGTACTGATTATAAAACAACACTGACGATGTCCCACTATTATGAAGCGTAGTTTTCTTAATTATACACACATGCACACATTTATTATTAATTTATAAAAATGCACGAATTAAATAGAAAAAACCTGAATTTAATACTGCATCAATTATTTCATACCTCTTGAACGAATTCAAAGGCTTGACTCCAGGGTTAGAAGATCTGATAATTGAAGTCGGTCAAGTGATGTGAGTTAAGTTGCTTGAACATGTATGGATTGGTTGTATATTGTATCGCTATTTATCTATTGAGCAATCCCCTGTGAAATAAAACTGATGCCTTTAAAACGTGTTCAATTCTTATCATTTTTACCTAATTTAATCGATGTCATTGAATTCCATTAAATAAAGATAGATAAGGAAGCTGATATAGACACATAGTAAAACCGATATATATATATATATATATATATATATATATATATATATATATATATATATTTTAAATAAAAACAGAATTTGCTCTGGATTTACATTGAGCTCTCTGGATTTTATCCTCCTTAGGTTTACCCATACGGATTACCTAGGTTTTCATGAACTATATATATATATATATATATATATATATATAGTTTATGAAAAAAAAAAAAAAAATATATATATATATATGTATGTATGTATAAATGAATCTGATATAGACAGATAGTAAAACAGATAGATATGAAAAATATAAATATTAGATAGAGAGATATGAACAGAATGAGATAGATAGATAGATAGATAGATAGATAGATAGATAGATAGATAGATAGATATAAGGGATCTGAGATAGTCGTATAGACAGATAGATAATATATAAATACGTCAGATAAGGAATCATAGGTAAATAGATAAATAAGGAATCTGATATAACAGATAATAAAACATATATATATATATAGAGAGAGAGAGAGATAGAATATATATATATATATATATATATATATATATATATATATATATATATATGTGTGTGTGTGTGTGTGCGTGTGTGTGTGTTTAAATATGTGATACTTACATACATATGTCTATGTAGGCACATATGCCTGGGTCTTCATATATATTCATCTATGCTGAATATTCAAGTTGATTTGTTTGTGATTTACTCGTACGTGGTATGAGTCAGTTTTAATCTTCTGGCCAAACTGCATGGACAATCTGCGGCTTTTAATAAGATCGGCATAGCAATCGCGGTAAAATATTCACGCCAAGCCACTTGGCGGACGGGGTTAGGTTTTGTGGTGTCTATTTATAAAGAGCAATATGTTTGTAATAATCCCTATCGACAGAACTTCCTAATGCTGGCACCGGTTTGAATATTATGGTCCATCGTTATGGTCATTATTCATCACGTCGTTTCCGTGTGCAATTTGTATATACGACAAGCGTCTAAATACACTGGGTATGATCCATCCAAGAAGTCAACGACATCAGCAACGAAAGCGATAACTCTAATGTGTAACGCAATTGATGCACCAAGGGAAACATGCGTCAACAGAAGGAATTGAACTATATTGAAGCTACAACGGTATTGAATATTTAAGTTAGTTTTGCTGATTTAACGATATGTGAAATCAAAGCTTACTGTTATTTCTTTTTTTTTTTTTTGTCTTTTGTTTACAGTAAGGTTCACCCTGTACAGTCCGGGGGGCAGTCGAGGTATATATATATATATATATATATATATATATGTGTGTGTGTGTGTGTGTCTATCTCACGCACGGTGAACACTAGACCTGGCTTCTTTAATATTTCTCCTTTTCTAGCGAGATTAATGCTCGACAAACGTACATATAAATTTTAGATTAAAATAAAAATTCTTTTCATTTTTCATTCAAAATACTCTATTTTAAGAATACCTTTTCACAACATCGCCCACGTGACGCCGACGTGATCATATTGAAACGGAACGCTGATCTTGAAAATTTCAGTTATGATTAGTCTTACTCTTATGTCCATCGTCTTTTCATGTCGAATTGAATATAGTCTAATGTTAATTATGTTTTATGAATATGTCCTGAAGATGGTCTTTTAGACCGAAACTTCCGACGTTGACATTATATTACCATTAAAAGAGCATAATTGCATATTAGGATTTTTGTTTGTTTTTTCCGTGCATTTTTCTTCATATAGCCTTAAGCATAATTACAAATAATTTTTGTCATGAAAACAAGTGTTTTTCTACCACAAAATTCACTAATACAATCAAGATACAACACTTATCTATCGTTTTTGTATAAACACATGTATATATGCACGCATTCAATGAAAATTGTAATATGTTTCTGTTATAATGTTGATTTGGGGTTAGTAGAGACAAACGCCAAATAACACGTAACAATAAAAAGGGGTTTATTCGGTTGGTAAGTAGGTACAGAAATCGCCTGAGTAGTCTATAACTAGCTCAGCTAAGAACTTCTCTGACTCTGTCTTTTGACATGCCACTATTTAACGTCTTTGTTTGTAGACAAGTTCACCTTCAAGAGGGGTGGTAGGTTTCCTACACAACAGTTTCCCAGAAAAATTAAAATCTAATGATTAATGATTAAGCATATGAGAGCTAAGAAAGATGAACTATCAATTGCGTAAGCCAAGATCAAATAATGCCACCTAAAACTTGAGATTAAGTCTCTAAAAGCAACTATCACTATTTCTTTCTTTTATTTATAGGTGCATTTTCAAAAATCTAGATGACCAGAATGAAGCCGTTCATTTCAACGAGCACATGTGGCTCAGTGAGGGAAAGAGTAACACGTAAAATTCAATGCATCAAAACTCAAACTAATAACGTTCCACTACCACCGAGCAGACCTTCCAAAGTTTCGCCTATCATGATGGAAGTGTCATCTCTCAAAGAATTTCCTTACCTACCAATAGCGTGTTTTAAAATAAAGCAAGGGTACTTAGGGGTTAAAGGAAAACACTTAACAGAATGTTCTCCTAACAATTAATGGGGGCCTAGGAGAAGGAGAAAAGACGGAGGAAAATAAATTTAAACTGCGTAATGACTAATGAGGCCATTGCTTCAGAAACCACAGCATGTCAATCGGTACGCAACTTCCGGAACAAAATGCGGCAAGGGACCGTTTTCATAAGACACCGATTCTCTGACTCTAGCAAAGCGAGCAACTACCAACTGCTGGTTTTGCTGTCGCTTTTATTGACAAAGAGATAGTTGATAAAGACTCGAACCTGTA